GAGAAGTCCCTAATAAAGGCCCATGCTGCCTGTGTGCCACACCGAGCTGTGCTCCGCTAATGGAGCCGAGCACTACAGGATGCCAATCAACATATCTCTCACACACACACAAACCAAATATACACCCCCACACAACACAGACCCTACAAACAAAAAGGTCACTCTCATTAGTTCAAATCTAGACTGATGTGTAGGGCTGTGTGTGTGTTGACGGTGAATACAGTGTGATTAAAAAGGTCAGCTTCATTAGCAAAGCGCTGGTGGCAGCTCAAGTCCACATTTCACAATGAGCTTTGACTGAATGGCACAAACAGACAGTAAATCACGTCTCTAAAAACAGACTCGTGAATAAAACACATCCTGGAATATTCTGACAACATTATAGCTCTAACCATGAATTCCGGCCTAAAATACCTATACTGAGACCTCCTTTGACTGAAAAGACTTTCTGGATATAATACTGGATATCTGTAGATTCCTGGAAAACAAGGGGCCTAAAATTTCGGCAACTGCAATGTCAAAACTTTTTTGGACTTTCCAAAAATATTTTGTTACACTTACTGTATGAATGTATATAATTACCAGGGTTATTTTAATATTATTTATGTAAATATATTTGCATAATATTATAGTATTTATTCTCTATTAGTATTTATTCTTTAATACTAATAGCCCTTTTTTAGTATTAAAAAATGGTACTTGAACTTTTATTTTTATATTTTCAGTGTTCATTTTAATTGTTGATGCTTTAATGGTTTATTTGTGTGCTTTTGTCATTTTTATTATTTTTTTATATTTCTATTTAGCTTTAATTTTATTTTATTTCAGCTTTAGTTTTAGTAATTTTAGTAATTCAACTTAAACTTCAGTTAGTTGCAGAGGTAACATTTTGAATTTTCATTTAAATTTTTCATCTTAATATTTATATATGATTTTATCTAATTTCAATAACACTTTTTTTATAGTTTTATTTAACAATAACAATACTGATAATTATAAAATATAATTCTCAGCATGCATGACTAATATGAACAGTAACCACCTTTTTTCAATATTTTGGCAATTTTCCACCAACATCAGCTAAAATCAAGTGTGTGAGTACAAGCATTTTTGTAAGAGGTGTCCGGACATGTGGCCCCTGTAAGCAGCATTGTAGATCCTGTGGTGGGGAAGATTAATAGAGCCAATCTCCAAACAAGCTGCACAGTGACCCCCTCAAAACATTTATAATGAAATGAATCAATCAGTGGGCCCCAGACCTGCAGATAGCATCAGCGGAACAGAACAGCAAAGAGAAAGAACCGGAGAGGAGTTTAAGGCCGAGAGCAGGCAGAGCATGGACAGTCAAGCCTTCTGATATCACTGGCCTTGTTGTCATACGAGACAGAGTGAGGACAGCCAACTTGAGCTTCCGGCACAGGAGGGCTCATAGCAGGGGCTGTTTGTATTTGAGCGAGTCCTGTGCTTGAAACTGCAACCAGTAATGCTAATGCAGTAACACCTCCCTCTGCCAGAGCACACGACTGTCAACTCTAATCTGTGCCAAGAAACCATTCTCCAACTTTTCATTACACACAGAAAATATTCTATTGTTTTTAATTAAGTTTAATAATTAAACTAAATGTCTGCTCTCCATTAAGACAGCCTTCAAAAAACAACCATGTCCAAATAATCAGTAAATGGTCGTCTGTATTTAATTTTAAGCAAATGAAAACAAGCCTGTGATTAATATAAGTACAATCTGTTAAATGTCATTTTACTTTGAAGTTAATTTTTCAACATAGAAAACATTGAAAATGTGTTTCCAAAATATGCTATTTTCAGTATTATTAAATAATTACACAAGTACATATGATTTTATTATATACATATATATACAG